CTCTAGAGCAACCTTATTACGTCTGATAACTGGTTGTACACTTTTCAGCTGTCCCCTGCGGCCCCCAGGCCCAACCACCTGCCATCTCCTCCCCATCACCTCCACCTCCAGCCACATATGTAAGCCTCCGTGTATCTCCCCAGACATGCCCTGACCTCCCCATGGGCCTCGGCCGTGCAGGCCCCTCTGTCTGCAGTGTCTACCCTGCCTTTCTTCTTGCTGAATCCTCCTTCAGGGCTCAGCTGCAGGGTCAGTGCCACAGGCAGCTTCCCTGACTCTGCTTCCCTGATTCTGGCTCACTCCCCGCCGTAGTCCGGTGCCCAGCCTGGCATAGGGCGGGCTCTTGGAACGTGGGTATAGACCCGAACTGAGGAGAACTGGATGGCCGTGAATACTCAGCTTCTCTTCCGGGACCTGAGGGCCCCGCACAGGGGGGATGGAATTGACATACTCTCTCTGGCTCCAAAGAGAATGGAAGGGACGGGGTCCAAAATTAGAGAAGCCCTTCCTGGAAAGCTGCCAGGCAGGACGTCCAGTGCTCTGGGGGTTGGGGACAAAGGGACAGGCCACCAGCTATGCCTGATTAGCCCCAGGCACTCTGAGGCCTGTCTAAGCCCACGACTTGGTGCATCCTCACCGAGTAACCTGGAAGCACCAGGGTTCCAGCAAGTGAGGGAGAATTTCAACCTGATGCCCTGGGCCACAGGCGCTGGAGGCAGTGAGACAGGTCTTAAAAACTGGGTCTCAATCTGGCTTCTGGTGCCCAGGATGAGCTGTTCCCCCAGCACCCAGGATACTCTGTGTGCTCCCGGGAGCCTGCCCCACAAACCTGCTCACTTGCACCATCAGAAAATGCTGGTGAGGGGCGCCTGGGTGGCTCAGTCGGTTAGGCATCCGACTTTGGCTCAGGTCATTGTCTCATGATTCGTGAGTTTGAGCCCCACGTCGGCCTCTGTGCTGACAGCTCAGAGCCTGGAACCTGCTTTGGATTCTGTGTCTCCCTCTTTCTCTGCACACCCCCCCCCCCCCCGCCCTGCTCTCGCTCTCTCTCTCTCAAAAATAAATAAACATTTTAAAAAAAGAAAAGAAAATTCTTGTGGCCTGGCAGCTGTGTGCCCTCCAGGATGCCGGCTCTCTCTGCCTCCCATCTTTTTTTTTTTTTTTTTTTTAATTTTTTTTTTTCAACGTTTTATTTATTTTTGGGACAGAGAGAGACAGAGCATGAACGGGGGAGGGGCAGAGAGAGAGAGGGAGACACAGAATTGGAAACAGGCTCCAGGCTCTGAGCCATCAGCCCAGAGCCTGACGCGGGGCTTGAACTCACGGACCGTGAGATCGTGACCTGGCTGAAGTCGGACGCTCAACCGACTGCGCCACCCAGGCGCCCCTACCTCCCATCTTTCCTCTGTCCCTTGCCCTGTTCTCAAACAGGAGAGGGAGGCAGGGTGGCACAGTGATGGGAACTCTGGTGCCAGGGTCAGATAGGAACAGAGCCCTGGCTTGGCTGCTTGGGGCTCTGTTACCTCTGGCAGTTACTTGCCCTCTCAGAGCCTTGGCTTCCTCATCTGTTAAATGGGTTCATAGGAGCTCCTACTCCATAGGTTATTTCAAGGCTTTAATGAGAAAAAAATGGGAAACCCTTAGCACAGGGTTTTGCAGGGGGGTGGGTGCTCAACTGAGGCCAGCCCTTTTCAGTCTGGAGACAACTTCGTTGTAATTTGGTAACGGGGCTAGGAGAAAACAGAGTCACCGAGTCAGGAAGGTTTTGTTCATTTTGAAAACTGCAATAGCATACATATACGCAGACAAGGGAGAATCCACGTGAGTCCTGATAGGAGATAAACCTGGCCCGATTCCTTCTAGTAGGGCCAGAGCTGTCTCTTTACCACTAGAGCAGAGCTGAGTATAACAGCTCGCATGTTTTAAACACTTACAGTGTTCCTGGCACAGTTTGAAGACTGCATTAACTTGTTTACTCCCCCCGACAGCTCTCTGAAGATGTCCCCATTTATGATCCCCTTTCACAGATGGTAACAATGAGGCACAGGGAAGCGAATGTGCACCCAGAATCACGCAGCTGTGTGACAGAGCCAGGACTAAAACCCAAGCCGAAGGATTTCATAACCTACCGTCTCTGTGGTATCTGGTCACAAGATGATCAACAGTAGGGCATGGAAGGGGCGCCTGGATGGCTCGGTCCATTAAGCGTCCGACTTCAGCTCAGGTCCTGATCTCACGCTCCATGGGTTCAAGCCCTGCGTCGGGCTCCGTGCTGACAGTGCAGAGCCTGGAGCCTGCTTGGGATTCTGTGTCTCCCTCTCTCTTTGCCCCTCTCCCGTTCGTGCTCTGTCTCTGCTTCTCAAAAAGAAAGAAATGCTAAACATTTTTAGAAAACATTAGCAGCGCATGGAGCACTACGTTGAGAAGAATGTAGACTGTGATCAGGGGAGAAAAGTACTGTGATTGATTAGCAGTGCCTGCCATGGACTTGAGAAGGGAGGACCCAGCTCTGTGCGGACCACCTCCTCATCACGAGCCCTGGCATCGTTGACTGGGAAGGATCATTCTGTGATGCAGGGGCTGCCCTGCACATCATAACATGCCTAGTCGCCTCCCTGGCCTCCTGGAAACTACCCGCCAGTTTCCAGTGGCACTGAGCTCCCCCAAATTACAACAATCAAAGCTGTCTCCAGACATGGTCCCCTGGGGGGCAGAGTAGATCCCGGTTGAGAACCTTTGCATTACAGCAGGCAGCGGGGATGGGCAAAAGAGCACCGAACTCAGAGTCAAGAGAACAGAGTTCTAGGCTTGCCCGTCACCAACCAGCCCATCACCATAGCAACAGCCCTTTGCCTCCTCAGGTTTCAGGTTCTTTTTTTTTTTTTTAGGTTTCAGGTTCTTAATGTGTCCAGTGTATGGGATGAAGTAGATGGTCCGAACGATCCCTTCTAGAAGTTTATGATTCCCCGCTCTGATTCTCCTTCCCTCTCCCAGGCCCTTCAATTAAAACCCTCAGGTTATTGGAGCATAACTTTCCAGAAATCTGCAGAGGCAAACCAACGGAAAGGCCTGGAATCTGCAGAGAGCTGTTTCACCCCCCTTGGAGCTCCGTATTTGCTCCTCATTAAAAGAAAGAAAGAGAGAAAAAAAATAAACAAACAAACCCTGAACCTCGGTACTGAGATTTCATCCAGGCAGCAGTTACGAAGCATGTACGAGTAGAAAAATCACAGAGACCCTAACTGAACCCCTTACTTCCCTGTGTTAGGAGAGAAAACGAGCTATTGGTTGGGGAAATCTCCCTGCCCTGTTCAATTATGAATCTCGGCAGGAAGCCTGGAAAATCCCGGCCCGCCCTGGAGCGAAGGGTTGGAGGAGGCGTGAGGCTGGCGCTTGGGTTCTTGAAGAACTCACCAAGTGACGGGAGAGATTCGGGATGGCGCGGGAGGGAGGCCAGGCTCCCATTTCCTGCCAGAGGGCCAGGGTGCGGGGGCAGGTGGAGCCTGGGGGCCCAAGAGCCATCTCTGGGGTCCTCAAAAAAGGCTTATGGGGGAGGAGACTTTGCTCCAGGGCTTGGTTTATTGGCCACCAGTAGGTAGGAGGAGACACCACCATTTGTGGGGAACCTTCTGCGTGGTGGCCTCACGTGGTCTCCTTTCCTTATTCCTCATGGCAACTGTGTGAGGTCCACTATCCCTGCTTTATAGATGAGGAAACACGGATGCCGTGTAATTAACTGGGCTGATGAGGGTTCTCCCAGGGGACTGAGGCCTCGAGAGGCCGAAGTTCACAGGACACACGACTCCCACCTGGCAGCATGGGGCCCGGCCTTCGGCATTCCTGTCTGCCGACGCGTGTCCCTCCTGTCCCCTGGGCTCTCTGGTCTCCCAGGAGCCTGCGCTCCTTTTCGTGTCTTGCCAAAGCATTGCACGCTTACCCAGAAGAATGAAGAGTGACCGGCCCCCGGAGCCCACAAAAACTGGGTTGGAATCTCTTTCCCCCGATGAAGGCGCAGTTGGCTGGGGGTTGGGATTCTCTTGGTTGCAGCCACAGAAACCAACTTCTTCCGGCTGCCTCCCCAAAGAGGACTTTATTGGATGTAAAGGGTCCAAGGGATTGAGGCGGTTTAACAGCAGGCCACTGAGGACACCCTGTTCGTGAGCTCCCCAAGGTCTCTTGGCCCCTGGGTCTCCTCTGCTTTTGATCCCAAATCCAGACTCTCAAAAGAGCTTCTCACTGGCCCGGCTCTTGGGCCAACTGTGTGCCCAGGATTTCCGGCCGGGGACAGAGCCATCCAGCGTGGCCACCGAGGAGAACTCTGTGTGAGGGACCCATCTCAGAGAAAGACACCTTCCACAGGTACTCTCCGGAGGTACATCACAGCCTCGGGATGGGCTCAGCGCCAGGCACGTGGCCCACCCTTCCTGTCCCCATCCTCCCCCACCCCGAGTCACTGCCCAGCTGTGCAAGCCCCAAGATCCTTAGAATCCAGGTCTAAAGAGCGGCCTCAGTTTACCAGAGTAACTTTGCTCTCCGGGTCCCTGGTTTACAGAGACAGGGTGTGAGGGCAGTGGGAACCCCACTGCCTGGGGGAAGGAGCGTGAAGCGGAGCCCAGCAGGCACTGAACGGGAGTCTCGCCCCGTCGAAACAGGTGCCGTCTTCCTTCCGTTGCCGACGACCAGAGGGACTTCTGTCACAAATGCGCCACCGGCCCCGCTTCCACACCCTGCTACTCCTGGGAGACACCCTTTTGGACCTCGCAGCTCACCTCGCCTGTGACATGGAGGAGGAAGAGGCGTCTTGGAGACAGAGCCCCACGCCCCTGCCCCTGCCGCCGCCATCTGTTACGCAGATGAGAGCCGAGGGAGGAGGCCCGTCCGGGTCCAAGTTGCTGTGCAAGCCGTTCTTCTCGGTCGGAACCCGTCACCCCTCGACGTGGCTCTCTCCTTGTGGCCCACGGTGGGCGAGGGGCGAGGCAGGCGGAGGCCCGGGTCCCCCAACGGCCTCCCCGCCTCAGGCTCCTGGCAGCTGCAGGAAGCTGTGAGTTGAGGCCAGAGTTTAAATGCGTCCCTCCTCACAAGGCGTCAATGTGAAGGGAGCATGAAGGGGAGCCTATTACCCCCTGGGGAGCGGAGCCTGCACTCCCCCAGCAGCTGGGCCCGTCTGGGAGGCACAGGAGACCCCCCTAAGGGGCCCCTGGGCCGGGGCGCGAGCCTAACAGGTCACCGTCCAGCCAGCCAGGCGGGAAATAAGATCACAGACACGCAGAGCCTCCAGGGACCCGGGCTCCCTGAATTAGTCAGGAGGAGGCCTGCTCCAGCTGCACGAAAGCTCCCAGGGCCGCCTCGGCGCCCACGGCGTGAGACCCAGTCCCCTCACGGGGGTGATGCAGACACCTCCATGACTGGAGCCCCGCCTACCCTTTTCAGCCTCAGTTTCCCCTCACCATGTGCGCTTTCTTCCAGAAGCTCACTCCCCGGAGCTGTCCCAGACACCCCATCCAGCACGTCTCTTTAATCCTTTGAAACTCCATCAACCGCCCCCCCCCCCCCCAACTTCCCTCATAGCACATGTCACCGGCTCGCTTGCTTCCGGGTGATGTATGCACTCACCTCCCCGGCTGGGCTGTAAGTTCTTGCCAGCAGGAGCCACGTCTTTGGGCTCCCACGGGGCCTGGCCTCAATCCACGAATACTGAGTTAAAAGAAAGGATGGGCAAAGGGTCGAATGGACGGACCAGGTCTCCGTCAAAGGAAAGATCCCGAACGGATCCTGTAGGCGCAAGGAGGCACCCGCGATGACTCTGAGCTAAGGCTGTGGAAAGAAGGAAGAGCATGTGTGAAATGTGCCCCAGGCACTGGTGGCAGGTGTCATGATGCCCAAAGAGACTGCCCAGGCTCTGAATCCCAAGCACTTGGCCGTGGAGAGGACACGGAAGGCTCGGGTCCGGTCTGAAGACAACCCCGAGAAACTATATATTTGCCCTCAACATCACCAGGATGTATCCTTCTCAAAGTGCTTTGGCCCACATGGGTCTCATCGGGCCTCACTCTGGCTCTGAAAGATCATAAAAGTATTTCTCCAGTTTCCGGATGAGGAAGAGCTTTCCCGACATCCACTCGGCAGCCCAGGTCAGGTCATCGATGAAGCGCTCTCTGGACTCCTCGTTCAGACCTCTCCCCTCAGTCGTAACTGCCGACGTTAACTGGAAAGCTCCGGGATGGCAGAGGTCACATCCGCCTTGTTCTCTTCTTGTGCTGCTGTTGCAGCGACCGAAACCCACCCGAACGGGTAGTGCCTTCAACATGATCGAGGTGTATTTGTCGCTCATGTCACAGTTCAAGGTGGACAGTCCTCTTAGCTTTCCTCCACAATCGGGTTCGGGGACTCGAGCCCTTTCCGACGCGTGGAGCCACGTGTGACTGGTGGGGAAGGGGGTATGGAGATGGAGGGCTGCACCCACTTCTCCAGAGATTTGTCCAGAAAGGGCACACGCATCACCATCGCTCACACCCCATTCACCGGCTCGGTCACGCGGCCGCATCTGACTGCAAAGGACGCCGAGGAAGACGGGGCGGCCCTGCATCCACTAAAAAGAGGACGTGAGTTTTTTGGCGAGCAGACACTCCTGCTTCCGAGGGTCCAGCACCCAGCACGTAGCAGGTGCTCACTAAACACAAGCTGGATGAAGAAACGGAAGGTCATGGTGGCTTAAGGGGGTCTCACGGAGAGCCACTCACAAGCTGGGGGGCGGGGGCACCCCCAGGAAAGTCCAGTCCAGCCCACGCTGCCTCTTCAAGCCTGCAGTTGCTCTCCGGGAGCCCATAAAGTGGTTTCCCAACAGCCCGCCTCGCTGCAGCTGGAGAGAGGCCAATGCGTGGGAGGACACCAGAGCGTGCCAAGTGGGAAATCACAGCCATCGGGAGGGTTCTCTGGAGACACAGTCGTGGAGGTGGAAGAAATCAGGAGAGAAGTTTGGGGGGGGGGGGGGATCAAGGGAGCCGAGGTGGGGAAAGTGAGGAGCTTGCGGGGGAGAATTCAGATTCCGATGTGGAAGTCCTACCCCCAGTACGTCAGACCTTATTTGGAGGTAGGGTCTTTATAGAGATAATCAAGTTATAATGGGGTCACGAGCATAGGCCCTAAACCGTATGGCTGCCATCTTTGTGAAATTTGGGCCGCCTGGGCGGTTCTGTCGGTGAAGTGTCCGACTTCAGCTCAGATCACGATCTCATGAATCGTGGGTTCAAGCCCCGCCTCAGGCTCCGCGCTGACAGCTCAGAGCCTGGAGCCTGCTTCGGATTCCGTGTCTCCCTCTCTCTCTGTGCCCCTCCCCCCCTCAAAAATAAACAAACAAACATTAAAAACCATTTTTTTTTTTTTTTAAGAAAAGGGTAAATTTGGAGACACACTTGCACACGGAAAAGACTGTGTGAAGCTGAAGGCAGAAATCAAGGTGATGCCTCTACAGGCTAACTGCCAAGATGGCTGCCAACCGCTGACGCTGGGTGGGGGGCCCAGAATGGATTTCCCTCAGAGCCCTCTCCTACCTTGGCCTTCTGGCTTCCAGCACTGAGAGACGGTGAACTTCTGTTGGTCGGGCCCCCCAGCTTGCGGTACTCTGTTACAGCAGCCCCGGGAATGGGAACACACTGCCCTTCCAGGCTGGCATGATGGTGCCCAAGTCACTTCCGGCCGGACCTCTGGTCCCTCCCTCATCTGCACACACATCCAAGGACGGGAAACAGGGCCTCCCCAAATGAAGTGCACTGCTTGCATGGCCCTATGCAGCCTCCTTTCTCCACCCTTCGCCACCCTCACCCCATGCGCCTCCCTTCCGGAGTGGCCGTTGCCCACCAGGGGTCACCCCCCTGGGGACCGTGCAGTAAAGCCCCATCTCCTCAGCTTTTCCCGCGAGACCCCCACACCCAGTTCCGGCCTCTTCTGCCTCCGCCTCCCCCACTGCTGCTTGCCACCCAGACCACACCGTCTGAGGTTCCAGAACCTAAGGCTGGCCTCCCTGCACCCCTTTGCCCCTCTCTGTGCCTTTGGCTTGTGCTGTTCACCAAAGCGTCTCCCGTGTACATATCAGTGCACCTCAAAAATCCTAGCCTTGGGGCGTCTGGGTGGCTCAGTCGGTTGAGCGACCGACTCTGGATTTTGGCTCAGGTCATGATCCCAGGGTTGTGGGATCGACGAGCCCCAAGTGAGGCTCAGTGCTGAGCGTGGAGCCTGCTTAAGACTCTCTCTCTCTCCCTCTCTCTCTCAAATAAAAAAAAACCCCAAAATCCCAGCCTTAACCAAGCTCTGCCCCCTGCTACCACCGCCCTGACTGGTCTAGGGCCCTGGGTTACCCTGCCTCCAGCCCGAGCGGCCCACCCTCCGGCCTCAAGTATCAGCCGGTGCCTTTCGCCCCAAAGTCTAGGAAAACAAGTTGTCTTGCCACCAGAGGTCTGGGATGGGGACCCGCACTTTCACATCATGCTCCAACCAACCAGAACTAGTTGTAGCTCTGAGGACATACCGCTTCCTGCCTCCAGAGTGAAGGAGGCAAGGACATGGACCCTGAAGCTGGGCGGCCCTGGTTCGAATCCCAGCTAGGACACTTAGTAGCAAATGGTCTTATCTTCTCTACCTCGCGGGGTTACTCTGACGATGGACTGAGTTAATAAACGACAGGTACTTGAGTTAGTGCCGGGCACCTGATCGGGGTTAAGTAAATCCTTGCTGCTATTCTTAAAAAAAGGATAATACTCCTTTTTTATCCGTGAGGATAATACTCTTCCCCACCTCCCCGCCCATCAGCCTGGCCAAAGCCTTGCCTCCCCTCCGCTCTCCACTCCCTTCCCGAGGTCCTGGGTCCTTTCCGGAAAGGCCTGTATCCTCCTGGAAATATACAGCGTTTCCGTCCTACAAGCTGCTCCCGCCCCTTCCCACGGGAATTGGGGTCCGGGCTGGGGGCAGCTTGACCCAGGAAGGCAGGGGCGGCGGGAATGAGGGTGCCGTGCCATCCTGTGTCTGAGCAGCCCTGCAGGGACATCTAGGACCCCGCACTCGACCCCCCGACCCCAGCTTTGAGCCCAGCCATAACTTCAGGACAGAAGCCTACAAGCCAGGCGCCTCTGATCACCTCCCCTGCCTTCCAGCCCATTGCCACCACCCGAAACAATACTAGTGGTCATTTCTCTTATCTTCTTGTGTCGTCGGTGCCCCAGGACCTTGCTCCGTGAGGGCGAGGACGTTGCCTCACTGAGACCTTGCGGCTCAGTGAATTTGTCCGGCACAACAGCGTCCTCGGTGAAAATACCGTTGGGGGACGAATGGTGCAGAAAAAGCCCCACTCGGCACCCCCGTCCGCGTGCCCCTTGTGCTGGATGTTCACAGCCCTCCTGTCGTTGGGCCCAAAGGGGCCTGGCCGTGTCAGGCCGCCTTCCCGCCTCCCCGGCATCCCTGCCGAGCCAGAGCGGCCGTTTCCACGGCCTGGAGATCCCATCGCCTGTGGCTTGGGCGTCAGGACACCGCTTCCCTGAAGCCCACCCCGCCTTCTTGGTTGCCGTGGGGCTGCCCGTCCTCATCTGTCCCGGGGCGACAGACCAGCAGCCCACACTGCATTAGAAGTGCCTCCCGCGCTTGCTGAGGGGTCTTGGAAAGGGAGCGGCAGGGATGCGACGCCAAGGAGGTGGATCCCAGGGGCCGCCGCTCTGCCTCGTGCACACCAGGCCTCGTCTCTAAAAGGGAGCAAAGAAGACTCACCAGCAGAGGCCGAATGCTTGGTGGCTCGGGACTGGGCATCTGCAGTGAGGCTGGCCTTCCAACATCGCTCAGCCTCTTCCTCCCGTCTTCAAAGCAGCGACGTGGCGAAGATGAAATGGGCTGATGCACAGAACGCGCTCAGCACTGGAACGTCTTTCTCCTTGCCTGAGCCCAGGGCTTGCGTGCTGGCGGTGCGCCTTGGGCGACGGTCCTAGGGAGAGGGCACGGGGGACGGCTGGGGAGGGCGGGACGGACACAGAGAAAGCCGGTGCCCGGGGCGTCCCTGAGCTGACCGTCACTCGGCCGGGTCCTGCGGGGAGCCGCCCCAGAAAGCAGGTGGGACGGACCCCAAGGTCGGGAGACGGGCACATCCGTCCGCCAGCTGCCATCTTCCTGCTCCCAGGTTACCCTGGGCAGGGGGCTCACCCCTCGATCTTCCAGCTCTCCGTGGGGGCGTGCAGTGCAGCTCCCCCCACAGGCAGCCGACCCAGGGCCCAGGGCGAAAAGCAAGGAATAACCGGTGTGGCTGAATCGAGGTGCCAGCAGGAGACGCCTGCCCAGAGCTGGTCAGAGACGGGCGGACAAGTGGGGGGTGGGGCAAAGGGTGTCTGTGCTCTCAACGGTGTGTCCGTGGCTGCTTCAAGCGTTGGCGACGATCGGATGAAGTCAGACTTCTGGAAAATGCTTTGCAAGCGATCAAGGAGCACGCGAATGATCAGTGGCGCCCTCTACCATTCTTTTGTCTGGGATTCCCCTAATTACAAGAGGCCTCTGGAGTGGCCCGTGACAGAGGCTTATGTCAGATGCTAGCATTCCTGAAATGACTCTGTGGTGACCTACGCCTCCTGCGTTGCCTGGGACTTTCTGCGGTTTCAGCGCCGAGAGTCCCCAAGTCGTGGGGGCCGGTCACCCTCGCTGCAGAGGGGGGCACACCCTGGAAGGAGGGCAGTGGGGATACTCACCGATGAGAGGCGACAATGCCTCCCGCGCCATGCCCACGCCCACGGCTCCCACCCCGCTCAACCCGCTGCCATGTCTGAGCGGATCTGTGGCCAGTTCAGGAGGGCCGTTACGTTTTCGCTAAGAATCAAAGATTCCATTTTTTTTTCCTCCCTTCAATAAGCCCTGATGGTTCGTCCTCAGACATCGTAGGAAACTCGGGGGGCGGCAGGGGGGCACGTAAAGAAGCTAGCTTTAATTCACACATAACCCTATCACCCAGAAATAAAACCCTGGACGTTTTAAGCATATTTCTTTCCAGATGTTTCCTATGCCTTTAGAAATACCTCTCACAAAAGTGGTTTATGATGCCCGTAGACAAAGGGCTATGTTAACATATGCACACACCCCCATATCTTTTCTACACAAAGGAGTCCTAGGATCTCAGAGCAGGAGAGCCTCCCTCCAGCCCAATTCCTGAGTGTTACAGATGAAGAAATAACTGGGGCCACGTGACTAACAAAGCCTCTTCACCCCAGTGGTTTTCCTGACCCTCAGGAGGGAGAGGGCCACCGTGTCTCTGGGAGAACAGGCCGGCGACCCCAGGAGTGGCTCGGGATTCCTGCAATGTGGCCCATTCAGGACATCATAATTAACCACCGTAAATATCACTTAATAGCTAACATGGCAAACAGCCTGCTCACAGGGAGAGAACGCACGTGAAGTGGACTGGAAATGACTTTCTCTCTTCCCTCTCACATCAGCCATTAATTTTCTTCCTATCAGATGCCTTGGGCCAACACAAACAAAACTAAACTTGACAGGGATAAATGTGAAGTCCTTAGGAATAGACACTCCACTCAAGAAAAAACAGGTTGGGGGAACGTGAGTCAGTTCTTGAGGAAAAACT